CCCGCCCCTCAGTGGGATATAATTAAACATCTACTGGTAGGTTTATTTTGTTGTAATTCTAAGGAGTTCTACCTTTATGGAGAAACAGCTGCTTCTTTAAAAGCCCATATATTTGATAGGAAGTTCACCATTTTACCTTGGAACACTTGATTGTAATGGAAACAATGAGCCTCTTAAAACCTGCCAGACAACTGAGATTTTTCAGAAGTAAAGTTCAGTGTACCTCTGCCCTTCATTTACTGAAGCAGTCCTTTGGAAAGCTGCCTGTTTTTTCACTGTACTCATGGAGTCTTTCATCTCAAACGTCCTCCCATTTCACTTTTTTTTGAGACAGGGTCTCACTATGTATCCCAGGTTGGTCTCTAACTCACAGCGGTCCTCCTGCCTCAGCCTCCCATGCTGGGATTACCGGTGTGCGCCACCACGTCCGGCTTCCCATTTCACTTTTATCTATGTGTAAAACACGCCACTGGAACTTAGTGGTCATACTTTTCTCTCAAGTCTGCCACGAACGTTAAAGGAAGTAGAACCAAGGAAAGTAAACAGGGCCATCCTGATGAAGGTGTACGTGTGTGTGCTGTGTCCTGGCATCATGCAGACCTGGCTACAGGATGCAGGGAGCAGGTGGTGGATGATACACGTGCAACGAGCACAGCTTGCAGCGCTGACACAGCTCCAGATAAGGACGTTCGTTTCTGACTCATGCTTCGGGATCACGTAGGAGTTGTGCAAGTTCCTCTTTGTCATTGCAAATACTTCAGACAAAAGTAAGGTGTTTGCTCTTTTATTCCTGGTAACTCATTTGTCCTTTCGGTAAAGTGTTTTTAAAGCATATTTCGCTCCAGTGAGGAGTATACTGCCAAGTCTCTGGTTATTCCAAATGAAGTTCCATGTTAATAACCCCTCCTTCACTTTGGTAGCAAGAAGCTAATGAACCTGTGTGAAGGAGAATACGATTCTTGAATACTGTGTGCTAGAGCAAGAAGTGACTGGCCAACAGTGGCTGGCCATCATCTTTGAGTTGAGAGTACTTCTCCAGTTAGCCTTTCCCTCATTTCTCCGAGAGAAGTTTGTAGAAGCAACCTTCTACTCTAAAGGAGCGATGGTAAGTTGGTGATAGTAAAAGTAAGATGCCTTTGTACAAATAGCACATTACCCTAAGGGATAGGAGTCATGGCTTCTAATCTGTCAGTGACCTTCCTGACAAGGAAATCACTTTCTTACTGGCCAAGATTGGGTGTGGAAATCAGTGTCTCACCAGGCTCTTCACTACCTACCCAGGCAAGGCCCAAAATACGGAGGACACATTGGGAAATTGTGCTGTTGTTAAATGAAATATCTAGACTGTGAGTTCAGCCTGAGCTCTGCACCTAACCCTTGCAGACCCTGAGTAGACTTCCAGATAAGGCAAACTGACAGCGCCTTCCATATGACGCAGCAGCCTCCTGTCAAGACAGTCATGTGTTTAAATGTGGAAAATGAGGCAGGGCTGCCTTCGCAGAAACTTGTGCCCTGATCTCTGAGGCTACCAGGCAGAATCCAATCAAGGTGTGCTACGGGGGCTGGTGATGTAACTGGTAGAGCACCTGTAGAGTAAGGCGAGATCCTGCGTCCCACCCCCACCCCAACCCTCCAGAAACCCTCAGACTCTTTTCCTAGTTAAGGTTCATGAGGCAAAGATGCAAACAGGCTGGGCGTGGTGGCTCATGCCTGTAATCCCAGCACTCGGGAGGCTGAGGCAGGAGGGAGACCAGCCTGAGCTACATAGTGAGTTCCAGGTCAGTCTCCACTACACAGTGAGACCCTGTCTCAACCCCCCCTCCAAAAAAACCACAAGTTTTGGGGAGGTCAAAGCACCTCTACCAAACAGTTCGTATGACCTGTATGGCCTTACAGATCCTGCATCCTCCATTCTATCCCGGCCCTCTGAGGACTCCTGCAGCTTGCTGAAGTTTCAGATTCATGTTGCAGGCAGCCTGGATGCTGCTGCATGCCTGTATGCTCAGTGACATGGGGGCTCCCCTGAGGAGCCAGTCCAGCACTGTACCCATAGAATGACAGTGAAGTTCCACTATCTTAAATCCGGCTGGGCCTTCCCCAAGAAAGATTCCCCTTAGCTACCTGCGGACTGAATGGCCAACCAGCCCCAGTGCCTGTAACAGCTCCGTCTTGGTAGAGGCCAGACTAGGAACTGGGACCAGAGGAATGCAGCCTGCCTGAGTCACTGCCGCAGACTGCTAGCTGCGGGCTGCTATAGTCGTGAGGCAGTGGGCTCTGCCATGCCTTCCTAATTCGAGCTTCTGAGCTTTCCTCTCTTGAAAGGAAAAAGCTGGTTGTGTTTCTAGTTCTGGCTGATAGATCTTTGTATGATGGAGCTAATTCCTAGCATGTGGACCTCAGGGGTGGAAAATTGAAAACCATTTTTTTTGTTATAGAGTATCTGAAAAATTAAATAACGAGTATTTCAAAACCTTACTTATCTATACCTAGCTTCAACAATTACCAACTTGTTGGCTACGAAGACCAAAAAAAAATTTTTTTTGTTTTGGGTTTTTTGAGACAGGTCTCACTACGTAGTTGAGACTGACCTGGAACTCACTGTGTAGCCCCGGCTTGTCTCAAACTCACAGTGATCCTCCTGCCTCAGCCTCCAGTGCTGGGATTGCAGGCGTGCACCACCACACCCAGCTGAAGACCAAAATTTTTGATGCCTTCACATAGATGCCATTTACATTAGTTTTCATTAAAGTCACATCATTAGTTTTCTTTGTTCTCTGGAGGTTTTAAGTAGTCATTCCGATGCTCTAAATTTAGTTCCACCCCATGGGGGGTGGTCCAAGCAGTCTTACTTTCATTTTCAGGAGCATTAACAGACAGACTTGTCTACTGTGGGCTCAGGACAGGTTCACACCCCACAGAAGAGTATCACTGGAAATGATCACACTCTTTCCCCGTAGACTGTAATCCTGTAGTCACCCACTTCCGGTGGAATGTGCAAATGTTTCCCGGTTTTCTTTTTTAATTTTAATTTTTTTTTTTTTTTTGGAGAAAGTGTCTTGCTGTGTAGTCCAGGTTGGTCGCTAACTCTTGGTGATCCTCCCACTTCAGCCTGGGATTACAGGCCTGTGCCACCACAACTAGCTTTTTTATTTTATTTTTTGGTAGCAGAGAATGAACCCAGGGCTTTTATACTGAGCCCCCGCACCCTCCTCCCCCACCTTATTTTTTGAGACAAGGTCTTGCTAAACTGCCCAGGCTGGACTTAAACTTTTGATCCTCTCAGACTTCCAAAAGGCCGGGATTATAGGCAGGTGGCACCATGCCCTGTTAAAACTTGAGGAAATTAAAAGTCTGAACCTACACAGCTGCCTCACTAGCTCACCTATCAGAGGTGTCTCCTATCAGAGACTGTCTTCCATTTTGACATTTCAAAACTTGATAAACTGGTTGTAAAAGTCAGGATTTGCCAGGCCTGCTTAGCTCTTGGGAGTGAACAGCAGAAATACATCTTTCAATCAGGTTTACCTTTAACGGCTGCTGCCAGGTGCACACCACACTGTTCACACAGTAAAATGCTTCTAAAAAACTGTCCTTTCGCCAACTGCCTCGAAAGCACAAGGGCCTGAGTTCAATCCCCAGTACCAAAAAAACAAAACAGAAAACACAACTCGTGTTGAACACCGAGTGCGCACTACTCACCGACAGTCCTGGAGCCCCAGAATCATCACCACGCCTGGCAGTATTTCATTTCTAGAGCAGGCCCACTTCCCAAATGTCTACCCCAAATGCAGGAAGGTCACTGACTACAGCTGAGAACTCGGAAGGGCCGTGCAGGCCGATGCTGGGACTTAGCCAAGGTGATGAGCTATATGGGCTCAGCTGCGCCCAGCGTCTGCACCTGCGAGAGGGAATGCTGAGTGCAGCAAGGAGGGGCCAGAGGCTAAAGGAAACCACAACAAAACAAAAGCTGCCGTGCTGGTGACAGAAGGGAAACACGTGGAAAATCAGAAGCAGAGGTTGGGCTGGACCCTGTCTTAAAATTTGTATTTATTTTTGACATGGGGCCTTGATATGTAGGTCAGGCTGACCTTGAACTCACTATGTAGCCCAGGCTGCCTCACACTCCTGGCAATCCTTCTGCTTCAGCAGGGATTACAGGCATGCACCACCATACCTGCTCCACTGGCTTAAAATGTACAAGGGTTGGGATGTGCAAGGCCCTGGGTTTAACCCCCAGCCCCCCCATTCTGCCTCACTGACATTTTAAGAACAGCATGTGAGTTTCATGATAGCTCAGATCCATGATGTAAAATGAAGTAGCCATAGCGAACTTAAAACAGGCTCCCACCAATGGAAGAACTACTCTTGAAATAAAAGCACAAAAACTTAAGGTTGGGATGTAGCTGAGTGGCACAGCGCCTGCCTGGCAAGTTCTAGGTCCTGAGTTTGAGCCCCAGTACCAAAAAAAAAGACAAACACAAAACTCAAGACCTAATGGAAATTTGATTTAAAGGTAGGGAGGCTGAAATGAAAGGACAAGTGAGGATATTTGAAAGTCTCAAAATTAGTCCTTGCAAATATCCAAAATATAAAGATGAGAATTTACAGGCCAGGAGACGCATGCTTACAGGTCAGGTTGATGCTTGCCTTCCTAGACATTGTGTGGCTGTGTGAGCCGGGCCAGCATGGCTACCGTGGACACGGACGAGGTCTTTTTGGGTTTCAAGGCTGTTACTGGAATCGCTGCTGAGAAACTAGCTGAGTCCTCCACATTTGCCAGGACCACGGTGCTTACCTGATATGATCGCTGCTGAATTTACTTGGGTCACAGGCATTATAAACTCCAGGGTACTTTCCCATTCTGGGCAGTGTACAGGGGAGACAGATTCCCCAGCTTTGATGAGGCAGATTCAAGCCGCTGTCTCCCACTGCCGTCTTTGTGATGCGACAGCCAGCTCGGTGAACCTTCTAGAGTGACACGGGTTACTTCTCAGGTGGCGCTAACATGGATGGAGATGGCTGGTCTCTACAACCTCAAGGTAATGCGACTGGTTAGTAGCACACAGGATGGCTTTTAAAGCAGGCATGAAAGGGTGCAGGATCTCTGGAGAGTGATGGAAAGCCACATGGGGACCACTCTTCTGGAATGTTTAATGTCAACTTTATTGGGAGCAATTCTACATAATTTTTGGGAAAAATCATTTCACAAATTGCAATTAGGCTTATTTTCCTGCCTACAGGCCGGCAATGGCATGTTGAGACATAACCCCATAGCTGCCTCCGGTCACAGCTGAGATCTCTAGGGTCCTGTGAAGCTGTGATATAAAGATTACATCAGCTAAAGGTAAGAGAAAGGTTTCACCTGGGGAGGGACAAATTCCTTACCAGTTTAACCCATATCACCTACTGTAAGAATACTCTCACGAAAGCCTTCATCAACATAAAATCCTAAACTGGAGTGGTGGTGCACACCTCAGGAGGCTGAGATGGGAGGATTATAAATTCAAGGCCAGCTGAGCCTACATAGGGAGTTCAGGGCCAGGCTGAACTACAAAGGGAGACCCAGCCTTAAAAAACCAAACAAAACCGGGCGTAGTGGCACACATCTGTAATCCCAGCAATCGGGAGGCTGAGGCAGGAGGATCGCTGAGCTGTGCCTTCAAGACCAGCCTGGGCTACACAGTGAGTTCCAGAGCAGTCTGAACTACATAGTGAGACCTTGTCTCAAAAAACCAAAACAAACAACCCGTAAGATGCTCACTGACCTAAGATCTTCATCAGCATAAGATTACCTCTGCCCCCTCAGTCACCTGATTCTCCCTCCAATCACTGTGTCCCCAATAGTGGCGAGCTCACAGAGTCTTCTTTGCCCGCTCTGAGGCACTGACCTCCCGGGCCCCCATACGCTTTAAAATTATGCAAGTCTTGTGTTTTTTTCTTTAGCCCTCAGTGTCCCCCTTTCTAGGCAGTCGGAGGATTGATCACCAATCCTCCCATAAGCTTAGTCGCTAGTACAACAGTGGGTAGTGGTGTTAGGAACAGAAAATCCTCTCCCACCTTCTGGGAACCAACTGTCTACTCAGTATGGCAGCAGGCAGGGGTACAACAGATCCCAGTATTTTAAAGAATGTGTCCAAGGGTTGTCAAAGCAGCTCTAAAAGAGCAAAATTATTTTGATCCATTGTGGTACTGTTGGACTAAGAATATATAGAGTGCACATACCTTAGACATAAATCCTGAGGGTAGAGTATGTGCTTTCCACGGGTGGATTCCCTGGGTCCAATCCTCAGCACCAAAAGAAAAAAAGAAAAACAAAAAGTAATTCTGGTCTATTATTTTTTGGTGGGGGGAAGCCATCATAGAATTTAAAAATCATACATTTTAGCATCAGTAAAACACTATTTTCCTTCCTTATACATTTCCTACTCCCACACCCCTATAGGACTATTTTAGATGGAAGTGAGGGAGGGGCTTGTGCTGCCTTGAGAGCTCTGCCCCTGAGCTACACCTCTGGCCCTTTGTATTTTTTGGAGGCAGGATCTCCCTAAGTCACCCAGGCTGGTCTCCAATTTGGCTCCTCCCACTGGCCCTCCCAAAAGCAGATCGGGGACTACAGGTGTGTACCATGTGCCCTGCCAAGATTTTCCTCTGGTCAAATATTTGTAAAAGGGCTGGGGATTTAGCTCAGTAGTGCCGCTGTCTGCCTCACAAACAAAAAACAAGGTCCTGAATTCCATCCTTGGTACCAACAAAACAAAACAAAAAATAAAGCACATTCGCAAAGGTTTGAATCAAGTTTTCCTTCTAGATTTGGGGTAGGGTAGTAACAGTGCTGGATAAAAGTTAACTGGTATTTAAGGAGACCCCTTCCTTGGCTTTCCAGGGACACTGCTGGGCCGCTCCTGGGAGCATGCCACATTGGCCTCTCTCTGACAACTTGGTGAGGTTTCAGTGTGGCTGCCGGCAGGAGAGCATTCTACACCCTATAGCCATGGCAACAGCGGCCCAGGGGTCTGGCCATAGACGCCAAGTCTCATCTGACACAGTAGCTCTGAGAAGTGGTTCACAGCTCCCAAGGGGTCCCGAGACCCTCCCAGGTGCCCAAGTATTATTTTCATAACGCTACAGGGCTACTGGCTTTCTCCACTGTCATTCTGTTGTGAGCAATAAGTATTCCTGAAAGACATGACATATGACCTCATGACAGTTTACAGAATCAGTAAGAGAATCTTGCTGTCTTCTATAAACCCACACATTAAAGTAGTATGCAAGAGTCAGGTACAGTGGCACATGCCTGTAATTCTAGATATTTGGGAGGCTGAGGCAGGAGGCTTTCATATGTATCTCAGAAACCATCTTAGCTGGGCATGGTGGTGCATGCCTGTAATCCCAGCACTCAGGAGGCTGAAGCAGGAGGATCACTGCGAGTTCAAGACCAGCGTGGGCTACACAGTGAGTTCCAGACCAGTGTGAACTACATGGTTGAGACTCTCTCAAAAAACAGGAAAAAAAAAAAAAAAAAAAAAAA